AAAAAGCCGCGATCACGATCGCGATGGCAATTCGGCGGGAGGTCCTTCGCTCCAAGCCCGAGTGAGGGACTGTCCGCCGAATTGCCGCCGAAGAGCTCGACGTGCCGCCCCTCTCCGGAGTGGCTGCCTCAAGCACCTGCTTGGCAAGCTGGTGCCTGGAGCCGGCCCTGACGGTTAGAAACAGATCCTGTTAGAGAGTCATGTCAGTTTATTGGGTTTAAGTGGAATTTCCTATTTCAATATATTTGACTGGGATAAACTGTAGGGAATAATCTGGCATTAGTGCTCAGATTAAGGACCTGATAGATGGGACCTTATAGATTGTTTCCTTCCCTAGGGGCATGTCTACATTACAAACAAAAGCCAACACAAGTTACATCAGCATAAAGCTGCCACAGTTAGTATATCGCTTGTGTGCATGCATACTTGGCTCCTTACATCAGTTCTGCAAGTACTCACCAGGAATACTTTTCAATGCATAGTGCAGTGCACCCTGGGTAAGTATGCCAATGTGCAACTTGCCACCATCCAGCGCACTGTCTTTTGGGAAGTTTTGGCAATGCCTGGTGGGGCAGAAATGAGTCCTGCAGGGGTGACTGGGACTGCGAGGTCAAGTTTCCATCATGCTGCTGTCTCCACCCAATAATGCCATCTCTATCTCATAATTTTTGCACCTATTTTGAAAATCCCACAAACCTGCACGGGATGCCATCTCTGACAGAAGCATGGAGCCCGCATAGCTCTGCACTATTGTCATGAGTGTTGCAAGCACAGGATGCATGATCCTCTGGTATTTGCAGAGCTGTAAGAAGAGCCACAGGGAACATGATGATTTCCTGGAGGGCAGATTTCTGTGGGACATAGTGAGAACCAATTTCAGATTGTTGGTGGCATTCACAGAGCAGCTGCAAACAGTAGAGTGCCATTTCTGGGCCCAAGAAATGAGCACTGATTGGTGGGATTGCATCGTAGTGCAGGCTTGGGATGACAAGCAGTGGCTGCGGAACTTTCGGATGTGGAAGGCCACATTCCTGGATCTGTGTGCCAAGCTCGCCCCATTCCTCCAGCACAGGGACACGAGAATTAGAGCCATACTGACAGTGGAGAAGTGAGTGGTGATCACACTGTGGAAACTTGCAGTGCTGGTCAGTGAGAGATCATTTTGGAGTTGACATATCCACTGTGGGGGCCTTTGTCATGCAAGTGTGCAGAGTTATTAATTGGCTCCTGCTATGCAGGACTGTGACTCTTGGCAATGTGCAGGACATAATGGATGGATTTGCAGCACTGGGGTTCTCAAACTGTAGTGGAGCGATAGACAGCACACATATCCCTACTTAGGCACCAGACCACCTTGCTACACAGTACATCAACAGAAAGAGCTACTTTTCTGTGGTTATGCAAGCACCGATGGCTCACTGGGGATGCGTCACTAACATCAATGTTGGCTGGCTAGGGAAGATACATGACACTCACATCTTTAAGGACACAGGACTGTTCAGAAAGCTACAAGCAGCGACTTTCTTTCCCAGCTGGCAGATTACCATTGGTGATGTTGAAATGCCAATAGTGAGCCCAAGGGACCCAGCCTACCCCTTACTCCTGACATCATACACCAGCCACCTCAACAGCACCAAGAAAAGATTCAACTACTGTCTCAACAGGTGCAGAATGACAGTTGAATGTGCTTTTAGTCGATTGAAGGGGCACTGGTGTTGTTTACGACAAGATTGGACTTCAGTGAGAAAAATGTGACAATGGTTATAACTGCCTGCTATGTCCTCCATAATAAAGTAAAGTAAAATATAGTAAAAAGGGAAAAGTTGCTGCTGGGGTGGAGCTGGAACGGCTGTCTGCTGAGTTTGAACAGCCAGACATAAGGGCTATTAGAAGCGCTCAATGTACAGCTATACAGCTCAGGGAAGCTTTGAAAGAGCAGTTTAACAGTGAGCTATAGTAATGACTGTGGTTTACTGTGCTGTACCTGGTCCTGCAGTTTGGGAGTCTGTTAGGAAATGTGTGGTGCTTGGTGCACATCTATGAATATAACACTAAGGGCTGGTCTACACTGGGGGGAGGGGGAATCGATCTAAGATACGCAACTTCAGCTACGTGAATAGCGTAGCTGAAGTCGAAGTATCTTAGATCGATTTACCTTGGGTCCTCACGGCGCGGGATCGACGGCTGCGGCTCCCCCATTGACTCCGCTATCACCGCTTGCTCTGGTGGAGTTCTGGAGTTGACGGGGAGCACGTTCGGGGATCGATATATCGCGTCTTAACGAGACGCGATATATCGATCCCCGATAAATCGATCACTACCCGCCGATACGATCGATACCCGCCGATACGCCCCGATACGGCGGGTAGTCTGGACGTACCCTAACAATGCACCTATTAATTTTGTGGTGCTCCCTGTACATTTATGATTATTATACTGTGTTTGTCACTGATCTTGTGAGTTGGATCACAGTGTATAAAACAACTAGGTGGGTGCTTTCATTACCACCAGGCATTCTACAGCATATGTTGGGAACTAATAAAGATGAATTATTTTCCAAACAATAGAATTTTATTGAGTAATGAAAATACTTCAAAAAAACCTGTACAAGTTAAAAGAAATACATTAAACCTTAATAAATTTATGCAACAAAGGTTAAAGAAGGGGAAGTAACATTCATGTCCATTTTAGCTACACATTCACTGACCTGTGAGAGCCACAGTTGATGTATGTGAAGCTCTGGTTGTCCTTTATGTCCCCCAGTGTGAAGTGGTAGGGGTAGGGATGCGGTCCCTGATGCCAGTGTGGAGAGCAGGGGTGTAAGGAGGTGCTATATTGGAGTTCTCCCTGGACTGCAAAGGGAGGCGAGCCCAGGATTATTGAACCTGTAGGTCCACAAGAGGCTGTGGCATCTGTGTTTGCTGCCAGAGAAGCCCCATTATGTCTTGCTGCATCTCCCTCTCCTTGTCCTGCAGGAGTCCTGGGCCTTTCTCCTGTCTGCTCTTTCCTTCTCCATACAGTATACAGTATTCATCCTCCAGGGCCTCTGATCAAGTCTGATGCAGCACTGGCTTTCAGGATCTCATTGAACATGTTATCCCGAGTTCTCTTCTTTCTCCTTCTTATCTTGCTCAGGTGTTCCGTTGGTGTGGAGGGAGAACCCCTCAAGGCCACAATCAACAGCTGCAGATAAAACACACAGCGTACCATTGTCAGTATAGTCACAACAGACTGCGAAAGTTAAGATTCAGAGCTCCCTTCCCTTGCTCGCCTAAAAGTTTTAAACAGGACATGTTTATTGACACTTGTCTTTTGGAGTCCTTGTACACAGCACCACTCAGAGCAGCCACCATGGATTGTATGGCCCACTAGGGGTGAAGGAAATGAGGAGGGAATTGCTCAGTTGCATGAAACTATGAGTATAGGGCAATAACACTGAATACTGACACCATTTTCCACAGACAGTTGGAATTTTAGCTGATAGCTCACTCCTGAGGGTTACAAAGGCACAGAGAGTACAGCTGTTGCTGGTGTCCCACCCGTATGCTGCTAGCCTGTTTACTGCAATGATGCTGGCCAAAGTTATCACAGACTGGCATGGGAAAGTGTCCTACCACGGATGAAGAATTAAGGCTGCAGAGCACCTCCATGAAAGTTTCACTGAGATCTCACAGGAAGATTCAAGAATCAAGGGACATCCCTGTGTACATAAACAAACTTCTCTGTACCCCCACCTCCAGCCTAACTCTACACGTGAATGAAAAGCAGATAACAACACTATCTCCCTTTGTTGTGCTGCTACCTCTTCTAATATGAATAAATTAATGAAAAGTTGATCGCAGAGTCATGCTAAGTTGGGGGCATCCATGCAATAGGAAATAAATTTACACACTTACTGGAGGTTCCTTCCCCTCTATCGGGCTTGCCCATGCTCGACTGCCGAGACTGACTGGACTGCAGTGTAGTCTCAAACAATTCTGCCTTGCAGCATAGCTGGACCCTCTGTTTGCATGTCCCCCATTCTCCTCCTCATCCTCTCTGTAATACCAGAGGCCTATGATGTGGGCTTCTTGGAGGTATCCTCAGTGGTGTGCAGGGTAGTGATGGGGTCTCTGCCAAGTATGGCATGAAGCTCTTTGTAAAAGCAGCAGGTCTGCAGCTCAGCACCAAATCAACTGTTGGAGTCCCTGGCCTTCTGATATGCCTGCCACATGTCCTTTGCTTTCAAGTGACACTACTGTTGATCCCTGTTGTACCACTTCTCCTGCAGAATCTGCTCATAGGTGTCTACATTTCTACAGCTAGTCCATAGCTGTGCTTGCACAGCCCCTTCTCCCCACAAGCCCAGCAGATCCAAAATCTCCTGTGTGCTCCAGGCTGGAGTGCATCTAGAGCAGGGGTGGGCAACCTATGGCCCGGGGGCCACATCCGGCCCTTCAGATGTTTTAATCCAGTCCTCGAGCGCCTGCTGGGGAGAGAGATCTGGGACTTGCCCCGCTCTGGAGCTCTAGCCAGGGAGTGGGGTCGGGGGTTTGCCCTGCTCTGCGCGTGCCGTGTCTCCGCACGGCTCCCGGAAGCAACAGCATGTCCTCCCTCTGGGTCCTACGCATAGGGGCAACCAGGGGACTCCACATACTGCCCCCACTCCAAGCATGGCCCCCCAGGGGCAGCACCTGCAGATAGGGCAGCACGCAGAGCCGCCTGGCCGCGCCTCCACATAGGAGCCAGAGGGGGGACACGCTGCTGCTCCTGGGAGCTGCTTGAGGTAAGCGCTGCCCAGAGCCTGCACCCATGACCCCCTCCCGTGCCCCAACCTCCTGTCCCAGCCCTGATCCCCCTCCCACCCTCCAAACTGCTTGGTCCCAGCCAGGAGCACACTCCTGCAACCCCAACCCCTCATCTCCAGCCCCACCCAGAACCCGCACACCCAGCTGGAGCCCTCACCCCCCGAACCCCCTGCCCTAGCCCGGAGACCCCTCCCACACCCTGAACTCCTAATTTCTGGCCCCACTCCCGAGCCTGCACCCCCAGCCAGAGCCCTTACCCACTCCAACACCCCAACCCCCAATTCTGTGAGCATTCATGGCCTGCCATACAATTTCCATAGCTAGATGTGGCCCTTGGGCCAAAAGTTTGTTCACCCCGATCCAGAGCGTGTAGCCAGCATGGTCAGCTGGGAAGTTGCACATAACAAGGGAGAGTTGGTAGGTGCGTTTGTCAAGATGGACAATCAGGAAAAGGGATTTCAAAAATTCATGGCATTGTAAAGAGTGGAAGGGCTTTTGGTCTCCATGACCCCTGGACAGTAGAGTTCACAACGATGACCATACTGATCAGAGTTGAGCATTGTGGGACAGCTGCGGGAGGATTGGTAGGGTTGACATAGGCAGGGCCGGTGCAACCATTTAGGCCACCTAGGCGGGAGAAGTGAAGCAGCCGTGGCTGCTTCACTTCTCCCGCCTAGGGCGCGAAACATCCTTCCACCGGCCCTGGACATAGGTAATACAGTGTCTACATTAATGCTTTGTTGACTTCAGTACATTAATCATGGCTTAATTCAGCCCGGGGAGGTGGTGTTCCTATGTCAGCATAATAGAGAGTTTACACTGATGAGAGACAAACTTAAGTGTAGATACATGCACAATTAGGACAACGCAAGGCAGCTTGCATTGACGTAACATTTTAGTGTAGACCAGGGCTAGGTCTCTGATTCCTTGAAACAGCTGATCTGTGGGTGATGTGGTGACAGCAGGCAAAGAGTTATTTTGGGGCAGGTTCTTTTTCATTCATTTTGTTTCCCTCTTTCTGTAGCTGTGTAGCAATTACAGTCCCTGGCAGCGGGGAAGCCAAGGGGGCTGGGGGTGGAGCTGTATTAGAGACAGAGGATTCATCATGACCGTTTGTCCTCTCCGTGACTGCAGCACCAGCTTGGGGAAGGGAGGGAGGAGGAGTGGAGCCTCAGGCTTATTCACAGCTGACCCATGGTTATTTTTAGCTCTGGAATGCTCCTCCCAAGACCCTCAGGGTTTATTTCTCTTCTCTTGGCAAATGGCACTTTGTGAGCTCCTCAGCAGAGGCGTTGGAGGGCACTGGAAAAAGTCAAAGGGCAGCCAACCAAGATACACCCCAGAGAGAGGGGCATTTGGAGGGTCAGTGCAAGCTTGGGACAAGGGCAGGAGCACCTCATACAAGCTCCACTCACTCATCAATTGAGGCTATCCAGCTCACCAGGATAAGGTGGTCGGATCTAATTTGAAGGAGAGAGGAAACGATGGGAATGCAGAGAGGAAAGGAGGAGAGAGAGAGAAGAATGAAGCAAGAGAAGGAGGAGAGGAGAAAGGGAAGGAAGGGATGTGGAAGAGAAGGAGCGGTGTGGGGAGGTAGATGGTGTGAAGGAGGGTGGGATGAGTGTGACTGAGAAAAAGGAGAACTAGGAATGGCAGTTTGCTCCCCAAATCCTCAGGATGGCTTATTTGGCACTGACATGGCTTGTCAGGCTCCTCCTCAGCTGGGGAGCTCCTGAAGTACTCAAGTCAGTCCCATGAAATAGAAGCATTACAAGAGGAGGTTTTGGATTTGTCCACTAAGAGAATGGGACTTTTTTCCTTCTCCTCGGAGTGGGAGTCAGCCCCAGCAGAGGTGAGTAGCTGGCCTAGATTCAGTGAGGTGAGAGTACTCAGCTGAGATGGGGTTAATATTCCCCTGGGAAAGCAACCAGGCAGTTCTTAGTTTTTAGGAAGAGAGTCCACTCCAGCCAACCCCTCTAGAAAGCCTTTCCCTGCCCCTATTGGAAAACTCCCTGTGACCCAGCCCAGCACCTGCCTGGCAAAGCCCCAAGAGAAGTCTCAGATTGAAGACCTAGTATCTGGAGTCCTAGTAAATGTCAGAAGCCAGATTCCTGGAGCTTTATGACAATATTAATGTAAGATCTAAAACACAGGCAGCCTCTGGTGCCTGTGAAAAGTGAAGCAGTTATGGTTTAGAAATTAAAGATAGTAATAAATGCTCACGTGTTCAACTGTGGAGTCCCCAAATGTGTGGGAGCTCCAAGTGCTTGAGCTGGCTGTACCTGTATGTTCCAGAGTTGCTTTCTTCCTATCTGTTTACTTCAATGGCAACTATTCAGATAGTATTTGAGCCACACAAACATTAATGAATTTATCCTCACAATTCCTGTGTGAATTGGGGATGTATGATTATCCTTATTACACACATGGGGAACTGTTCCTGGGAAATGCATTAATAACCTTTCCCCATGTATTGTAAATTTGAAGATAAAATATGCTCTGATTTCCCTTCTCTTATCAAGGACCTGGCAAGGAGCTTGCCTGCTCCACACTTGGGCTGCTGCACTGGTGCTCATAGCTGGGCTGAATGTCATGCCGATGTGAGAGCAGAAATAACCTACTCAAAATAACATGGCTCCCCCCTCTCTGCCGCTCACTCTCTCGCTCTCTTTACAGTAGCTTCTCCTTAGCTTTCAAAACTCCCAGCTGTTTCTGCTTGTCTAAGGCAAGGGAGGCTTGTTGCCTGGATACCAGTCCCTTTGATGAGCAGTTCAGTCCCCCAGGAACTCACACTGCAGCCAACACCCTCCCCCCTCAATCATGCAGCATTGTTGCTGAGTGTGAAAGATGGAAGCCAAGCACATTTTGGTCCTTGTAGGGCTTTAAAATGCAAAAAAGGGAAAGTAATAGATGGTAAAATGCCCTGAATGGCAATATTCTCTTTCTCCTCTCAAAAGAATAACCAGCTGTAGTGATCGTAGAAACAGAAGTGGCCAGTAGAGAGGAGACCATCCTGGCCCTCTGCTGGGGGGCCAAAGCAGGATGCCGTTCCTAAACATATCAAATACTAAATTGATAAAAACTGATCTTGTGCTTGAGCTGAGCCAAGAGGCCAATTCAGAAATCTGCATTACAGGAAGCAGAGATGCAAAATGATTGGCATATCCTGGCAGGGGGAACCATAAGTGTGTTTGCTTTACTACTGATATAGGCACTGCCATCAGTACAACTTCACACGTAGGGGCAGAATTGGGAGGGAACAAGATGATGAGTCCCTTTCACTCAAGCTTTCTGTGCTCCTTCATCACTATGCAGTTGCTTGGCTCCGATGCAGTTAACTCTGGCTGGTGATGCTAGAACAATCAGTTAACTTGGCAGCATTGCAACAAGGAACAG